GGGGGAGGCACTCCAGCCTGGCGACAGAGTGAGATGGAAAAAATAAAAATAAAAAAGTTCTATAGTTTTAGGTCTTAAATCCATCTTGAGCTAATTTTTGTAGATGATGTAAGGTAAGGGTTCAACTTTATTCTTTTTCGTGTGGATATTCAGTTTTCCCAACACCATTTGCTGAAGACATTATCCTTTTCCCACTGTGTATTCTTGGCACCCTTGTTGAAGATCAGTTGCCTGCATACGTATGGTTTTACTTCTGGGCCATTTTGTTCCACCTGGTCCATATGTCTTTAGGCCAGTAGCATACTGTTTTAATTACTGTATTTTTGAAATATATTTTGAAATCAGAAGTTTAATGCCTCCAGTTTTGTTCTTCTCTCTCAAGATTGTTCAACTATTTAGGGTCTTTTGTGATTCCATGTGGATTTTTGGATTTTTTTTCTATTTCTGCAGAAAATGCCATAGGAATTTTTATAGGGACTGCACTGAATCCCTAGATTGCTTTGGGTAGTATGGACATTTTAACAATATTAAGTCTTCCATCCACTAACATAGGATGTGTTTCCATTTATTTGTATCTTAATTTCTTTCAGTAACATCTTACAATTTTCAATATACAAGTCTTCTGCCATGTAAATTTATTCTTAAGTATGTTATTGTTTCTAATACTATTATAATGGAATGTTTTCTTTTCTTTCTTTTTTGAGACAGAGTCTCGCTCTGCTGCCCAGGTTGCAGTGCAGTGATGTGCCATCTCCGCTCACTGCCACCTCTGTCTCCCAGGTTCAAGCAATTCTCTTGCCTCAGCCTCCAGAGTAGCTGGGATTACAGACGTGTGCCACCATGCCTGGCTAATTTTTTTATTTTCAGTAGAGACGGCGTTTTACCTTATTGGCCAGGCTGGTCTTCAACTCCTGACCTCAGGTGATCTGCCCACCCTGGCCTCCCAAAGTGCTGGGATTACAGGTGTGAGCCACTGCGTCTGGCCGTCAAATTGATTTTTGGTTTTTTAGTAAGAACTATGATCTGTATACTCAACACAAGCTTATCCTATTATTCCAAAACTGAAAACTATAAACTTTCAGAAGTGAATTCATCCAAGTAAAGGTCAAAAATACTAAATGAACTGCTCAATATCACACCACAAATTATCAGAAAGGCTGATGCTAGATCCTAATGAGAAATACGTAACTTCTGTAAAGTTGTCTTTCCAGGAACTTATGCATAATTCATCCTACAAAGTGTCCAAAAATATGTGGGGAATATGTGTATATACACACAAAACTGTTTACTGTTCATAACAGTGTAAAAAATCTAAATTGTTAGATTTAGACAACTGGTAGATACATGGTACTATGGTATGTTCATACAAAAAAAAAAATAAATACTACACAGCAGGCGCGGTATCTGGCTCCTGTAATTCCAGCCACACCAGAGGCTGAGGAAGGAGGACTGTTTGAGGCCAGGAGATCAAGACCAGTCTAGGCAACATAGAAAGATCCTGTGTAAAAAATAAAATTCAATAAATTATTCAGGCGCGGTGGCACACATCTCTAGTCCCAGTTATACAGAAGGCTGAGGTAGGAGGATCATTTAAGCCCAGGAGTCTGAAGCTACAGTGAGCTAAGATTGCACCACTGGACTCCAGTCTAGGTGACAGAGAGAGATCTTTTGTCTCTTTAAAAAATATATACATATATACATGCACATATATATGTTTTATATACATGCACATACATATATACATATATATAAAATTACACACACACACACACAATGCACCACCTCCTAAGAAGGATATAAAAATATTTTTTCATTAACATGGTCGCAATTTTTTAAGTGAAAGAAGTTTCAAACTTGCACACAAAGTTTGATAGCATTTTGGGGACTATGTGTGTATATACATACACACTTTAAAAATCTAAGATATATACAAAAATGTTAACATTTTATAGCTTTTATAGTGATTCTTGATTTACATTTATCTGTATTTTCTAATTTATTTACAAAGAATACACATTCTTCATGTATTTTCTAATACATTAAAATTTCGTATCTTTAAAACAAAGAGCTCGATTTTACAGACAATTCTCAATTCCTCACGTGATTACTTGTATAATCATCATTCGAGGGAAAGGGTGGCTTTGGCTCACAGATGGGCCTTCCTCCCAACAGTCAGTAAAGTCTGAAAGTTGTATTTCTCTCAGCTACATTTAGTCCCTGACTCTTACTTATCCAATGGTCTTAGGTACTTTCGAAGGCGTTTTCAGGATGAATGTAATGCCTTAGCCCCTATCCCTCTGATTAAATTTCTTTGAGGTGCTCCCCATCATATACATTAATGGACAGAAACAGTGAGTAATCTATTTTGATTCTGTGGTCCATTACCAAAAACACTTTCCTTCCTAGGAAATGTCTGTGACCAAAACAAAAACATAATCACTTAAAAATCTGAGCTCTTCCCCTCCCTTAAAGAACAACTCAGTTCAACTATTTGATGGGGCCAAATAACAGACATCTGTACAGGCAGAAGAAGGCGAAGCCCAAGCAGAAAACGGTGTGTGAGTGTGTGTGTGTGTGTGTGTGTGTGTGTGTATGCATGTGTGTGCATGCAGGGAGCGGGGGCAGGAAGGCAGACAGAATAAGCTGGGTTACCAAAAAGTGCACCGACCAAATAAGTCAATATAGTGGGGAAGAATGTGTGTGTGTTTGTGTGTGCACGCGCATGTGCACGCAGGGAGTGGGGGCAGGAAGGCAGAGAGAACAAGCTGGGTTACCTAAAGGTGCGCTGACCAAGTAAGTAAATACAGTAAGGATAAGGGTAGCCAACTGTACTGTCCGAGAAAGGAATGACAAATATTACGGTGGTGGCTACAAGAAGATTACCACTGTGTATTCATGGTTTTCAATACAGATAAAGAGATCAATAGATGTAGAAGAGAAATAAATGCAGATATGAAATTGTGTGTGTATTTATAAATACTCATCTACCCTCTAGCTCTGCTCACTAAGCGGGCTCAGGAACAATGACATCCCAATAGCAATGAGCACAACTACACAAGGTCCTAGTTTATCGTTTTCCCCTAAGAGAAACCAGGGCTCCTTGGAGAAATGGCTTATTCCAGAGTAGGGGCAAAGAAAGAGCAAAACAAGCCTGAAGAGCTTGAGTCAGAAAGGAAAGAAATCCTGGAGGATGACTGGGCACATCAAGAGAAGAGCCAGCTTGGAGGAGCTCCCCCTGGCCAGACTGTAGATAATGTGAGCATGGAAGTAAGAATGCTAATGGATAACAATCCATTGAATAAAACAGGAACCTTTGGATCCACTGTAAGATTTTAAAAGTGAATAAAATGAAAGTTCAATGAAAAATGAAATATTTACAATCTCAAAATACTTCTACACAAAATACTTCTAAATTACAATGAGAAAAAGTAAAGATTAACATGAAGAACTCTGTAAAACATCTGGGCAACATTCACTCAAACATTCAACAACAGCCAAGAACAGTAATGGGAGGTTCGGAAAAGGATTCACATCGCCTCAAACTATCCTTAGAAAGGCCTGCTTGCGTGGATGGTCCTTTTAGCATCTGGAAACTTGGATTTCGGACATGTTCCCACCGTTCGCCAAATAATAAGAGTGTCTCGCTGTGCCTAAATTGTTTGAACAAACAAGACAGTTTATGCTGAACTCCTGCTTTCTTTCTGGGAGTCTGGAATTCGGGGGCATGGTAGGCAGAGGGTACCTGCGTGACTAGCCCCAAATAAAAACTCAGGGCACTCAGTCTGTAATGAGCTTCCTGTGTTGTCACAATTCAATGTGGGAAGAATTAACTGTCTTTTGTGACTCCACTGGGACAGTTACTTCTGGGCGCTTGCCTGGTTTTCTCTTTGCTGACTGTGTTTTGTATCCAGTTCCTGTAATAAATCTTAGCTGTGAGCACGCCTGGGTGTTGAGCACTGTGAGTCCTTCTAGGAAATCACCTGTCCTAGGAGTGATCTTGGGGACACTCCCAACACACGGCACAAATCAAGTCACATATGCTACTTAACAGGACACGATGAGAAAAACACTGTAAGATTCCTGTCCAAGATATATAACCTGAATCTAACCACAGCAAAACATGAGACAAACTCCAATGAGGGACATTTTACAAAATAATTAAGATTTTCAAAAGTCAGTATCATTAATGTCAAGAAAGGACTGAGAAACTGTTCCAAATTGAAAAAGACTAAAGAGACCGAATGCTAAATGTAATGTGGGATTCTGGACAGAATGCTTCTTCTATAAAGGTCATTACCAGGACATCCTGTGATACCAAAATAAGGTTTGCGGTAACAGTAGCATGTCAGTGTTACTTTCCTGATTTGGATGGATGTGGGAACATAGGAGAACGTCCCTGTTACTGGGAAATATCTATTAAAGTGCCAGGGGCCATGAGGTACACATTAGTAACTCACTTTCAAATGATTTAGGGTAAAAAAGCTTTCTTGGTCTATTCATGCAACTTTTCTGAGTTTGAGATTGTTTCAAAATAAGAAGTAATGATGATGATGATGATGTTTACTATTCCATTTATTGATACCAAACCAGTCTTACAATAACACGCTAAGAGAATGTACAACATCCTATGTAGGAAAAGCAGAAACTGGGGGTGTGGGGGATGGAGAATGGGGAGTCCTATCTCCCTCAACTCTCTTCACCAAGAAAAAAGTTTATATCATCAGGAAAGCCTCAAAGCCAAATATTTTAACTGTACTGGTTTATGATGATTAAATAATCGCTAGACATAGGAAATCACTTGAGGGTATAGAGTTTTTGTAAAAGAAACATCAAGTAGAATATCATTTACCTAGTAATACTTAATGAACATTAACTGTTAGTAATAGAATTAAGAATTTTTACTCAATTTAAATTTTCCTAGATTGTTTTTCCAAGCCCACCTCCAACACCAATTGCAAAAAAAAAAAAATCACTTAAAAATCCATAAAGCACTAAATTACCGTTTGTGTGCTTCCTGTTTGCTGCGACACTCCTCACAGTAATACTTGTACTCGCTGCATAGAGTTTCTGTGTTGCTGAAACCCCTGTGTGAAATTCAAAACAAATTTATTTTGTAGATACCAGGAAATCATTATCCATTAAAAATAAAATAAAAAATATTCCAGACTAAAAATAATTATTAAATTTCAAACTAAATAATTCTACATATACCTTAAGCAGTGAGTAATTGATGTATTTTGTTCCACGTCAACAGAAAGGTCTAAAAAATCTTCATCTTTGCTGCTTATCTGTAAAAACAGTGAATTATCTTTGATTTTTTCAAGTACTAGTAAACCACAGTTTCCAATTAACAGAATTAAATGCATTCTATTACTATTAGTAAGTAAACAATTCTTTTCCCTCAAGTTCAAAAGAAAACTACTTAATTTGGATTATCCAAAAGGACATTGAATAAACAACCCATAACAGATGTATAAATAAAACACCAAAGTACACTTTTGACTGACTCTCTCTGGCAAAGGCTAGTATGATGTGAGAGTTCATGATTTTCCAAAGTCTTTGTGTTATTTTGAAGCATGAAATAAACTGTACCATATACACTGATCCTTAAAAAAACATAGGCCAACACTGAATAAAAATGCTTCACACAGGACATCTGTATCGTTTTGTCATAAAAAAAAATTTAGCCCAAAATGTTAAATTACATTCTTCATTTGTGACTGACTTTATTTCTCCTAAAAATATAATACAAAGTTTTGTTTAATTTATGGGTAAAAAATCTTAGAAAGTTATCACTTGCTCATGTGAATTGGAATAGGACAGAACTTTAGACATAAATCTTCCTAGCTATATCTATCAGCAAGTCCATCCTGAAGGTACATGTGCAACAGAAGATACGTCTGACTCAGCTCCCTGTGCCTCTCATCCACTCAGTTAAGCAAACACCATCCCATTTTAATACTGCATCGAGATTATAAGCTCAGTAAGTTGTCACAGAACATGTGGCTGTACATAGTATGTATTTATGCAAATGTAAGTAAACCAGGGTACTGTGCAGAGCGTATTTTATAGACAGTTGAAGGGAGTTCCAATGGTGATTTTGACTTTCCTCGACTTCAACATTAAGCTAACCGTAGGACCTAAACCCCTTCTCTAAGATGCCATTCCACTGTGCGATGGAAGATACACTAACACTACAAGATAACTGACCTGAGTCTCAAAAAGTCTGGTGAAAAAGAAGGGGGAACACAGACAACTCAGAGAGAAAAAAAGAGAACATCATATGTTTGAGGAAAATACATCAATTTTGTAGAAAAGTGGGTAGGGTGACAAGAGATAATATGGCAGAGGTAGGCTAAAGCCAGATCAGGCAGGAATTTACATGTAAGCTATAGAGAAGTAAAAGTTATACAGTCTGGTGTTTCTCAAAATCAATTTTGTATTCCTCAAAAAGAAGTCCTCAGACACTGCCTCAGGGGTCATTTGAAACGTTCACTTTTATGATCATGTAAAAACCTAGACACAAGGATGCTCTAGATCACCTGGGTGCATGAATTACTACGTTTATATTTGCAATTGGGTTGGTGCCAAGTGGTCACCAAGTAGGGCAGTATTTCACTTTCCAAAGTGGTTGTGAAGACATCTGGCTGCTATTGGACTAATATGTCCTAATGTCATGTCATACACAATATGGGGAGATCCTAGTCTAAAACTCAGGGAAGAAGTCTAGGGTGGAGATCTGGAGTTGAGAGTCATCAGCACATGTGATAACAAAATGGAACAGGATCATGATCCTCCCAATGCAGAGTGAGAAGCAACCGACAATGAAACCCTGGGGAACACCCACATTTAAAGAATGGAAAAAGAGAAGCTAATGAATGAGACTGAGAAGGAACCCTCATAGAGAACACCGGAAAAGGGTGTTACAGACACCAGCTTCCTACCACCTGAGACGTTACCAGTTGCATTTCTAAAATACAAGCATAAGCTCCTCCAGGAAGCCTGTCCCTCACCTGTCCAAATCCTTCCCACTCCCACCTGGATTAGGTCTACCATTCTCTGGCTAGCATGGCATCCTGTGCATACACATACAATAACACACTGTACTGGAACTGCCTGAACACTGGTTTGCCAGTCTTCATTACCATAGGACTATCCTGAGATCAGAGGCTTATGTCTTACCCATCTACCATCTTCTACCTGGCGTAGTTGGTGCTTAGCACTCCCAAAAATGAATACTTAAATAGAAATCTAACACAACACGCACGGCATTGATATGAGGAAGAACTACCAAACTCCAATGAAAGATAGCAAAAAAAGTGGTAAATAAGGGGAGACAGTGCATATACTTAGATAAGACTCAATTTTGTCAAGATATTTTTTTCTCAACTTGATCTATAGGTTCAGCAAAATCCTTATCAAAATCCCAGCAAGTTATTTTGTGGATATCGACAAACTTGATTCTAAAGTTTACATGGAGAGGCAAAAGACCCGGAAGAGCCAACAAAATATTGAAGAAGAACAAAGTCAGAAGACTGAGACTACCTGACTTTAAGACTTACTCTAAAGCTACGGTAATCAAGACAGCATGGTAATGGGGAAAGAACAGATATATAGACCAACAGGACAGAAGAGAGTGCCCAGAAACACACTCACACAAATAGAGTCAACTCATCTTTGACAAAGGAGCAAAGGCAATTTAATGGAGAATCATCTTTTCAACAAATGATGCTGGAGCAGATGGACATCCACATGCAAAAAAATTAACCCAGAATAAACCTTGTAATACCTTATACAGAAATTAACTCAAAAAGGATCATAGACTTAAATTTAAAAATGAAAAACTATACAATTCCTAGAAGATAACACAGGAGAAATTCTAAGGGAGATTTAGTTTACTGATGACTTTTTAGATACAACACCAAAAGTATAATGCATGAAAGAAAAAGTTGGACTTTCACGCCTGTAATTCCAGCACTTTGGAAGGGTAAGGTGGGCGGATCACTTGAGTTCGGGAGTTCAAGACCAGCCTGACCAACATGGAGAAACCCCGTCTCTACTAAAAATACAAAATTAGCCAGGCGTGGTGGTGCACGCATGTGATCCCAACTGCTTGGGAGGCTGAGGCAGGTGAATCACTTGAACCCAGAGGCGGAGGCTGCGGTGAGCTGAGATCACGCCACTGCACACCAGCCTGGGCAACAAGAGCAAAACTCCATCTCAAACAAACAAACAAACAAACAAACAAAACTTCTGCTCTGCCAAAAACAGTGCTAAAAGAATGAAAAACACGGACTGGGAGAAAATATTTGCAAAAAACCCACCTGATTTATGAACTAGTATCCAAAATTATACCCCCCAAAAAAACCCACTTAAAATTCAACAACACTCAAAGAAAACAAACAGCCTGATTTAAAAAAACAGACAAAAGATCTGGACACATCACTAAAGATATATAGATGATAAATAAGCAGATGAAAAGACGATCAACAACATATGTCATTAGGGCCTTGCAAATTAACATGAGATAACACTACACACTTATTAGAATGGCCAAAATCCAACTGACAACACCAAATGTCAGCAAGGATGTGGAGAAACAAGAACTCTCATTCACTGCTGGTAAGAAGGAAAAATGGTACAGCCACCGTGGAAGACAGAATGTTGGTTTCTTATCAAACTAAACATACTCTCACCGTACAATCCAGTGATCATGCGCCTTGATATTTACAAAAAGGAAGTAAAAACTCACATCCACACAAAAGCCTGCACACAAATGTTTATAGAGCTTTATTTATAATTGGCAAAACTTGGAAGCAACCAAGACGTCCTTCAGTAAGTGAATGAACTTTAAAACCTGCAGCACATCCATACGGGGGAATGTTGCTCAGCCGAAAATTAAGGAAATGAGTTACCAAGCCATAAAAAGACATGGAAGAACCTTAAATGCATATTGCTAAGTGGAAGAAGCCAATCCAAACAGGCTGCATCCTATATGATTTCAACTACACGATATTCTGGAAAAGGTAAAACTATGGAGACTTCACAGGACTCTTAGCTTTCTTGCCTGTGGATCCTCTTTTCCAATGTTCTCAAAACCTAGCAGTGCAACTGTCATAGTAAAGACAAGATCAGGCAAAATCATAAAGGCATGCTAAATCTTGGGCGAGATTTCGATAAGGAGGGAAGTATTTGTGTCTCCCCCCAGACTGCCTATTAATTGCAAAGGGATTTAAAAAAAAAAAAAAAAAGTCATCATAAAATGGAACAACTGGCCCAGCACGGTGGATCATGCCTGTAATCCCAACACTCTGGGAGGCTGAGGCAGGTGGGTTGCTTGAGGGCAGGAGTTCGAGACCAGCCTGAGTAACACAGCAAGACCCTGTCTCTACAAAAAATTTACAAACTAGCTGGGGGTGATGGCAGGCACTGTAGTCCTACTTACTCAGAAGGCTGAGGCAGGAGGATCACTTGAGCCCAGGAGTCTGAGGCTATAATGATCTATAACACAGTATCATGCACTAAAGCCTGGGAAACAGAGCAAAAACCTGTCTCCAAATAAATAAATCAAATGGAGAAACACCACCACCTTGACTGGGTGATCAAAAATTAATTTCACCAACGAGAGGAAGATGGATAGTGTGTGCCTACAGATGTGATGCCCCGAGAAGAACACAACATGAATGATGTATTATTACAGCCATGAATGCATAACCTCATCTAATTAGGAAGAAACATCAGAGAAACTAAATATGAGAACATCTCATTTTAAAAAGTCTGGGGAGGCATATTACTAAAAAATCTCCATGTTATAACAAAAAAAAGACCATGTAAATGTTTCAGGTTAAAAAAGGCTAAAGAAACAACTAAATGCAATGCCCCCCTCCAAACTGGATTCTGCACTGAACGGGGAAAATGCTTTAAAGAACATGACTGGCCGGGCATGATGGCTCACACCTGTCATCCCAGCACTTTGAGAGGCCAAGGTGGAAAGACTGCTTGAACCCAGGAGTTCAAGACCAGCCTGAGCAACACAGTAAGACCCCTGTCTCTACAAAAAATAAAAATTCAAAAATTAGCTGGGCATGGTGGCACGTGCTGGTGGCCCTTGCTACTTATGAGGCTTAGATGGAAGGACTGTTTGCGCCCAGAAAGTCAAGGCTACTGCACTCCAGCCTGGGTGTAACGATTTTCAAGCTTCATCTTTACAAAGTGTACAGCAAGTGGGATATCTTCCCCTCCTTGAGGGTACACTGTATGCTTTAGTTTTTAATTCCAACAATGGATACTAAAGGTAATTATAGAAAAAGGAAAAACAAATTAGTATGCCTCCCTGATCGGTATGATCCTATGAGATTATGTCCTAAGACATAATTTTCACAACATGGTCTATGGCCTCCTAAACTGAAAGAAAATTGAACAGTTCAAGCTACGACATCTTTCTATCACCTCAGGTATTCATTGTCAATAAGCAACATGACATTAAGAATACAGACAGAGTCCTTTTAACTGAAAAACCCATCTTTAACTCCAATATTTAAGAATTACAACTTTCAAGTTCATCTTCCATTCTTCTCTTTCTCAAAGAACAACCTTTAACGTAATGATTCAATTTTTCTCTATACAAAATTGTATGATATACTTACAGTTTCACAAGTAAGACATCTGGTTTCATTAGTTAATGTTCCCTGAAAAATCTCATGAACCCACGTTGGGTCTGGTGTGCTGTTATTATTTTCATTATCAATATTACCATTAGGTAAGCGACCATTTTGTTTTTCCTGCTTTCTCTCTTCTTGTAAAATATCAGCAATTGTATTTAGCAGGTAATTTAAGAATTCATGGGCATCTTGTTGCATGTAGTTGTCAAAAAGCTCTGAAAATAAAAACATAACATTAGATAATTATTTCAGAATTAAAACTTCATAAAAAAACCATTTATAAAAGAATATCTAGTATTGGGTCAAAACTAAAATATAAATGCACAAGGTTTTTGTAATGTATAACAAATAAATAACTTTCACATCTAAAACTTTTATCTGTATTTGGGGAAAATAAATGTAAAATTAATGAAAATCTTGTTTAAACATACTACTAATTGATCCATGAGGAAAGGGCAAAACCTATCCTCATACATTAGCATAACAGATACTGAGAATTTAAGAAGAAATTGCTTATTAGCTTACCTAACCTATTATTCCACAAATATTTCAACGTGGCAAGCTTTAAAGCAGAAGTTGGACAACCATTTGCCAATGCCAAGCCAACTGCTTAAGACCCACCACAAAGTTTATTAAAAATAAATTACTGAACCGTACATCCCAGGGATTCTGATTCAGTTGGTAAGGGGTGAGGCCAGAATGTGGGGCTTTTCAAAGCTCCTCCAACTAACTCTAATGCAGAGTCAGGTTTAAGAACCATGTTATCAAGAATTATCTATGTAATCTAGGTAATCTCAAGTCCCTTCCAAATGTGAGATTTTGTAATTCCAAGAAACATTTCCTGCAGTTACACAAGTGAGTAAATATAATTGAAATACTGGTGGTGCTACCATCAAGTGCACTTTACCCTGTGCTTGGCAATACACCACTCTACCAAGAACAGTGAGTCCAACACCCACTTGCTGGGCACTTTGTAAAGATGAAGCTTGAAAATGGCTACACCCAGGCTGGAGCGCGGTGGCCCAGAAGTAAGGACTTCAGAGGCAGTATCTCATTGGATCCCCAACAACCATGTAATACTGTTACTAACTTTATTTTTAAACATGAAAATGGGACCAGAGAGGGTACAGTCACACTGCCAAGAAATGGCAGAGCCAGGATTCAAACTGGGCAGCCTGACTCCACCATGCCACACACAAAGTAATGCCCAGTGTGAGCCCACACACGAACTGCCCAGTGTGAGCCCACATACATGAATTGGTCAATAAAATGCATTGAGAAAACTTACCTATTTAGGACATTTTATTTTTAGATTCTCAATGTACATTTAATATATTTCATAGGAGTAATTTTACATTTTAAAATAGGTAATTTTACATTTTAAAAATGAATGCATACAAATTTAGAAAAAAATTTAGGGAAAGTCTAAGATAAAAGGAATTAACTACATTTTAGAAGAGATACAGATATGACTATATAAAATTAAGTTCTATGTATTAGAAATCTTTTAAAAAGTTAAAAAAAGTGAAATCTGAAAATTATTAACATTTTCAACATATAAAAGCAAATCTCATATAAAAGAAAACCAAAGTGGGCAACAGACTTGCAATTGATTGATAAGAAAAAAACAATCAAAAGACTAAGAAACATGAGAAAATGTTCAATCCCATGGTAAGTTAAAAAAAAAAAAAAAAAAAAAAAGCAGGCTGAGCTCAGTGGCTCATGCCTGTAATCCCAGCACTTTGGGAGGCCAAGGCAGGTGATCACCTGAGGTACAGTTTGAGACCAGCCTGACCAACATGGTCTCTACTAAACACAAAAAATTCACTAGGCGTGGTGGTGGATGGCTGTAATCCCATCTACTTGGGAGGCTGAGGCAGAAGAATCGCTTGAACCTGGGAGGTGGAGGTTGCAGTGAGCTGAGACTGCACTGCACTCCAGCCTGGGCAACAAGAGCAAAACTCCATCTCAAAACAAAACAAAACAACACAACAACAACAAAAAATCCAGAATACCATCTTTCTTTGCAAAGTTATTGTAAAAACAGAAAGGGAACGAGTGAAGCTATTTATGGGGGTGGGGGACACAGCTGCTAGAGCAAGGCTGTCTGGGTTGGTGCTATGGTTCTACCTCTAACTGCACGCGTGGCATAGGCAACTTATTCAACCTCCCTGTGCCATAATTCCTCATCTGAAAAATGGGGCTCACAGCAGCACCTACACCTCACAAGGCTGGTAGAAAGATTAGAAGGGCTTAGAATACAACAATAGGTTTTGTATTCTGTTCAACAACCACCACAGTAACAATATTGGCAGTATCACTACAGGTTGAGTATCCTTTATCCAAAATGCTTGGGACCAGCAGTGGTTGGGACTTTACACTGCTTCAAATTTGAAAACATTTGCATACACATAATGAGATATTTTGGGGATGGGACTCAAGTCTAAACATGAAATTCATTTGTTTCATATACACCTTATAGTCTGGAGGTAACTTTATATAGTACTTTTTTTTTTTTTTTTTTGAAACGGAGTTTTACTCTTGTTGCCCACGATGGAGTGCAACTTTATATAGTATTTTTAAAAACTTTGTGCAGGGAACTAAATTTGTGTACACTGAACCATCAGAAAGTAAAGTTGTTACTACCTCAGCCACCCATGTGGCATCCTGCAGCTCAAAAAGTTTCAGATTTCTGGATTACGGATGCTCAACCTATATTGTTGTTGCTACTGAATAAAATACAAAACACATCAAAGACTGACTACGTAAAAATTATGAACTTCTGTATGGCAAAGTCAACATAAATAAAGACAAGTGACAAACAAGGACAATTATTTGCATATTAATATCCAGACTATGTAAAGGCTTCATATACAGAATATTTAAAAAAAAAAAACCCCTTTACAAAACAAGAAAAGAAAAAACCAATTTAAAAAATAGGCAAAGGAAAATAATAGCCAATTCAGAGTAGAAATATAAATGCCTATATAATACATGACAAGGGACTGGGAAATAACAATTAGAACAATGACAAAATATCATTTTGCCCATCACTTTGGCACAATAAAAACTGACTTAGTGTCCATCCAGTGTTAGCTTGAGTATGGAGAAATGGACATTCTCAACTGTTGCTGCTGGGAGCATAAACTGGCATGGCGTGTTGTAAAGGCAATTTTGGTAACACATTTAAAATAATGCAACCTCGTTCTCCCAGGTGTCGATGCCAGGTAAGTATCTGTGCACGTACCGAAACAAGCATAAATACGGCTGCTTATTTATAACAGAAGTCTGAAAATATCCTAAATGTTTATCAACAGGAGAATGATTTATTTAAATTATGCTATAATTTTGTTAGGGAATGCTGGGCAACGGTTAAAATGGAAGCAGTTCCATATGAATTAACATGGCAAAACTTCCAAGACAGAAAGCGAAACAAGGATGCTAAACACACGTGGATCCCACTCACGAAAAACAAACAACCAGCTGGGCGCAGTGGCTCACGTCTGCAATCCCAGCACTTTGAAAGTCTGAGGCGGGTAGATCACTTGAGGTCAGGAGTTCGAGACCAGCCTGGCCAACATGGTGAAACCTCATCTCTACTAAAAATACAAAAAGTAGCCAGGCATGGTGGTAAGCACCTATAATCCCAGCTACTCAGGAAGCTTAGGCACAAAAATCACTTGAACCTGGGAGGTGGAGGTTGCAGTGAGCTGAGATCACGCCACTGCACTCCAGCCTAGGTGACAGAGCGACACTCTGTCTCGCAAAAAAAAAAAAGAAAAAAGAGAAAGAAACAACCACTGTAAGTCCCCATAAAAATGTAACTGTGGCTTCCTATTTGGACATATGTATTTAAATACACAGAAAACGGTTTGGTAGGATCAGGGTATTTCAAAGGAACATGAGACTAAGAAGCTGGGGAGGAAGCAGAGTACTCAGGGCAACTTCTAGGTTTGTTTGGTACTGAAATTTTATTATAAGAATGTATGCATGTATTATTTGTATGCTTAAAAATAAAATAGAGCTTTCCATGCAAAAAGTCACTTCCTCGCTCCCTGTCCCTGCCTGTTACACAATTTTTTTAAGAGGTGGGGGTCTCGCTATGTTGTCCAGGCTGATCTCGAACTCCTAGGCTCAAGCAATCTCCCTGTCTGTTGCATACTCTTCATATACAATTACTTTCCAAACTCTTTCAATTTTAAAAGTTCACTTCCTGCATGTCTAGTCTGTTCCAGTTCCATTTAAATCTACCTAGTTCAAGTCAGCTCCCTTCACTTAACCCACTGAGTCTCCTTTCCTTCAGTTTCACACTGCAAATAGACAAGTTTAATTTATAGACCCTGAATCTTTCTCCCTAGGAATTTTCCCTGACATCTCTTGCATTACATGGTAAAATTCACAATAATTTTTTCATGTTCATTATTTAGTTATTTTCATATATCCAAATCCATTCCACAAATTTGGGTCTCAAATAAAGTACAATAATATTAAGAATGCAACTGAAGCCCAACTAAGCCACAGTTCACTTCTCTGCTGTAAGTTTAGCCTGAGGGACTCATCAGCTTTTAGCAAAATTCCCATGTTATGCTTAAGAGCAATAAAAGTCATGAGTTCTAAGTGCTCCGTAGTGGCCTCCGTGGACTTAACAACTAATCTTGAATTTGGTACATTGTGTGGGTTTTTGTCCGTAAGAGACAGTAGATCTAAAGCACCGGGACGCCATTCCCTTCATCCTGCTCAGAGCAGAAGCCTATGCAACCTCTCCCAACACTGAGCCTGAAATTCAAAAAATCTTCTCAGCAGTCCACTCCATCCCTCCAAGGCTGGGCCAAGTCGTGCATAGAACCTCACACGGTTTCACCAACTGGAAAAGTCTAGACCACCGCTGAGCTAACTGAAGTAAATTATCTAACCTTGCCCCTCAATGCAGTAATCCTCCATCCCTGAAAGTAATAAACACTTCCCCTCTCAACCTCAATCTCCTATCCTCTGCTACTCTCATTTGCTTATTGTACCTTATTTCCATTCTCATCCTCGGGATTTTATTTGTTCCCAACCCTTTCTAAGTTGCTCTCTCTAGGTCCTGCATTCTGCTCTAAACAAACTCCCTTGCCTTACCAACCTTTGGCATTTTCTAGTTTCCGACTGCTACTTGCTCTCAATCACAAAAGTGCCCAAGATCCAGCCATACTATGACCCTCAACCCTCCTTTCTCTGAGGCTATCTCCCAACCTCCTCCTCATCCACTGACAGCCTGATTCACGGTTTCTCTTTCCGCTCCGCCTCCTGCACCAACCTTGACATGTCAGTGTCTAGGTAGCTTCCTGACGTGCATGTACCTCAATCCCTTACAATTCAAGAACCTTTCTCTCTCACTCACCCACCCATTTCCAGGTCACTAATCTGGAACCACCCACCTCAAACAGGTCTACTGAGACAAGGAGTGGAAGGTAATTATGCTAAAGTTGAGTTGAGGGGCTTAAGAAAAGTTGGAAACCAACTGGAAAAGTCCTAGAGGAATCTAAAAAGAAGAATAATCAGGGAGAACTAGTAAAAAGATTTTATTGGCTTGATGCCACAATCTGAAGTAGCCTAATTTTCCTGTTAATTTCCCTGTTGAAAAAAATTATTTAGCATATACATGTTTTTCAAAATAATTACTTTTTAAGCAAAAATGTGCAAATGTTTTTGCTTTTTAAAAATTTACATCTTTTTTTGGATGCTCTTTTAACACAGAGCAACGATTTCATATTCACAAAAATACCTCAAACGACATGAATGCTCTGGAAATGAGATGCAAAGGAAACCAAAAAATAATCTTTAAACTTTTGTTGAAATATTTCGAAAATTATTTATAGTCAATTTTCCTTAGAGTATACTGAATATGCAACAATTCTGCTGTACCTGAAAGCAGCCACTATAGTTTTAAAAACATCAACCAGGACTGCATAAACATCAAATTAACACTGATAAAGGACCTCAGGACAATCCCTGTGAACTATATTGTATTTAGTTTGTAAAACCCTGGTTTTCTTATGGTTTGCTTTCTTCTTTGCTAAGTAGCATAATGGGAAAGGTGGACTTCAAACTTGCTTTGGAAGTTAAACAATTTCATTCATTCATTCACTCATTCAATAAATATTTAGTAAGCACCTACTATGTGCCAGGAACTGGAATATGTGCTGGGAATACAATGGTGAGCAAAAACAAATGGGTTCCCTCCGTCATGGAACTGACAGTCTAGTGGGAGAGACAGACAATTTCATTATTAAATAAATGTATGATTATAAACTACTATAGTCCTGATATAGCTGCAACAATAATGAAAAAAAAAAAAAAAGAAAAACACTGCTTAAAAATCGGTTATGTTCTCCTCATAATTCAGAAATAGCTATGAGCTCTCATTACACAAAATACCATTTATGCTCTTTTGGAGAAAAAGAATTGCTTGAAATAAACATAAGAAATTATTTACTCCAATATATTTAATAGGTATTATTTGTGAGCAACTGAAATTTCGTCACTTGAGGGAGACCAGGACTTAAATTTATCTGTTTTTGTATCTCTCCACGGCACATGAAAAGCTGCTATATCCATGCAGGTTCCTTAAGAACAAGGACCCTTTCTAGCTCATTCCCTGCTGTATCCCTAGGACTGACAACAGTGCCTGCCACATAATGAGATGTCTTTCCCAATTTTTAATGAATGAATGAATGGACGGATGGACAATAGGGATTGAAACAGCTAAGATGATGACAGAAAAGTAGATCTGCCCCCAAACAATAACTTAAATGACTGACACTGCTCAGATTCAGGAAGCAGAGCACACAGCTACAGATGCCAGCTGATGTGGTCCTCAGGCCCACCTGAAACGATCCCAAACAGGCCAGCTGAGGGTACACTCTAGCTAACACAATCAGATCACCAACCTATGATGTATTTCTTCCAAAATAATAGATCACCCACAGGCAGGACCTATAAAGAGATGACTCCATTTCCTACCTGGGTACTGCAACAGCCTCCAGGCTGGTCTCCCGTCTCTATTCTCATGCTGCCCACGCCCACCCAGCAGCCAGAGGGTCTTCTCAAGCAAATCAGAACGTACCATCCACCTGCTCAGAACCCTCTCATGGCTTCCCACGGCTTTCCAAAGAAAACCCAATCTTTAGGCCCCTGCTCTTCTGACTTTATCTTCATCTTACTCCACTCTTGCCATGCTAATTTTCTTGCCATCCTTCAAGCACTCAGGCAACCTGCACTTTCTTCTTACTGACGGTAACATTTTTGCCTCAGATCTTCAAATGATGTCTTCAAATTTCTGATCTAACATTACCTAATCAGGGACATTCCCCAACGACTGACATATGAACTAGGAACTCCCTCATCCTCTGTCCCCTCTCCCAGTCTTCTTTCTTTTGTGACAGTGACACATTACATCACACAACTGATGGCTGTCTGGTTCCCCACGAGGCTGTCAGGTACCTGAAGGCATATTTCTGTATCATCAGTTCCTAGACAGTGTCTGGCACACAATAGGAAATACATCTATCATAATTAGTCTACTCAAACACTCAGCTAGCATCCATCCCACCAGCACGCAACATGCATGGAGCCAGTGTTCCTGTACTCTATGCAGGAGCACTGTGCAACTGTCCTCTTACGCTATGATTAGGTAACATGAGTTAAAACTGTGAAAACAAAAATTCATTAATAAATAGAAATTAAAATCAGTTCTTTCCAGAGACACCAAAAAGATTAGTAACATAAAGCAATGGTGGTTAAAACAATATGGGGCTAATAGCTATTGAGAATAAAAGTTTTTAACATAGTATGGCAGGAAATTAATTTAGTAAGAACCATCCACCAGTGAAAATTAGTGGAAATACTGAAATGAGTAACATACTTTCTAAAGATTTAAAACAAAATCTCAGAAGGAAAGATATGCAATGAATAATATATTAAATCCTCTTTGATTTGTATATTCTTCTCTACACAATTCTCAAGGGAAAATTCAAAAGCCAAAAATATATTTCAAAACATATTTGCAAATGTCAGTAACACCAAATAATAAAAACGCTTTTCTATCAAAAAAAATGGCTTTTCTATTAAGCATTATTTCTGAAGTTTAGAAAAATTAAGCAAACCTTAAGAGAAGATGGGCTTAGAATAAATATTCTAGAATCAGTCTCTTTCAAAGACGTATTTAAGAACTCTATTGTGTTACCAATTTAATCTGCCTAAATATGAAAAAAAATTGGTAACTATAACTATTAAAAACAATAATAAATAATAATAATAAGGCCAGACACAGTGGCTCACGCCTGTAATCCAACACTTTGGGAGGCTGAGGTGGGTCATTTGAGGCCAGGAGTTCAAGACCAGTCTGGGCAACATAATGAGACCCCGTCTCTACCAAAAAAATAAGAGTAAGAGAGAGAGAGAGAGAGAGAGAGAAGGAAAAGAAAAAAAGCCCATTTGGAAAAAATAACAAACACCATAAAAATACCCCAGGTTTGACAAACAAACATATAAAGCCATAAGTATGTAACTGTATTTTACCTCTGTTCAGCATGAGGGTCAACCTAACTAAAATAAAATCATCGTATAAAGAGCACATGTGATAGGTTAACAAGGCCAAGAGAAATGTACTATTAAATGAAAAGGGAAATAATGTATATTCTGTATGGGCTGCATACTTCTGATTTTTTTTTTTTAGAGACAGGATCTTGCTCTGTTATCCAAGCTGGAGAGTGGAGCAATCAGGGCTCACTGCAGCTTCACCCTCCTGGGCTCAAGCGATCCTCCCACCTCAGCCTTCCAAGTAGCTGGGACTACAGATGTGCACCACCACATTCGATTAATTTTTAAAATTTTTTGTGAGACAAGGTCTTGCTTTGCTGCCAAGGCTAGTCTCCAACTCTTGGGCTCAAGCAATCCTCCTACCTTGGCCTCCCAAAGTGCTGGGATTACAGGTGTGAGCCACCATGTCCAGGCACTGAACATTTTTAAAATACTAATAAAGTCACTGAGAAAGGGTGCCATGTTCAATTACCAAGTACATAAATTTTCCACAAGGACAAAACTTTTAAAGTTTCATACAGACGCACACAAAAAGACTGAGAAGACTTAATTGCTCAATCCACATTTGAGCATTAAGGTTATATTTGATTTTCTAAAAAAAACAAGATAAACAGATCTGTAATCTAATAAAGTATATATGTTTAGCTTTCATTAGGGGAAACAAAATGTATTTTTGTGAGCAATTAATCAATTATTCTACACGTGTATGTGGGGAAAATGAACAAATCTTCAACAAATGTATCAAATTCAAGAATAATAGCCTATAGCCTATTTCTGGGTCATCTCATATTTCAGGGAACTATATATGATCCAGGCTTACCTCAATTCACTGTGTACAGTGTCAACTGACTAATTTAAGGGCAGGATTACACATTAGGGTATTTAATAATCAATCTTAAAGACTTCTCAAATCCTGCTTGTGAGCATCTATTTAACAGGTAACAAATCAACTAAAAATGCCATTCAATTTTGTTTCTACAATGATTAAAATGCCTACATTAAATAAAAACCAGAATTCTACATGTTATCTAAATTCCATTTGCATTTTTGAGGCAGTGTCCCACATGAGATAGAACCCTGGGCTTACGTATCAGGGAGAAGTAAGTTTGTATGCCAGCTCCACCACTTACTAACTCTGTGGGACCTTGGACAAATTAACCTCTCTGAGCCTCAGTTATCTCATAGGGTGATAATGTCTAACTTATTGGCATGTGAAAATTAAATGAACAATATTTCAAAAGAGCAAAGGGAGGTGGGGCTTACTCAGTAACTAGTTTTAAAAGGGGATGGGGGATTAAAACTTATCTACCCTAAGCCAAAAGGTCTTTTCTAGATCTTTCCCCGGAGTGTGGCTCCTGGCAAGCCTTTTTTAGCTTTTGATTTTTCACAGCTAAAATGGGGGAAATGACATGCTCTCTATCTAAGGCTACTGCAAGGATCCAATGAGTTAACACACACGAAAGCATTATGAAAACAACAAATGCATAAGCATGAAAAAAAAAAAATACCCTTCATTCTTGACAGAAAAGCCAAGCAAGCAAAAAGAGAAACTGTGATTTCTCATTTGCTGCCACACATAATTTTATCTCTGTATAACGCAATGCAAACATTAATTGTATCTTGTATTAATTTATTGTGAGACTATCTTCTTCACTAAACGAGTGCCTCCTTGAAGAAAGGAGTGTCAGTTTTGTTTCTTCAACAGCTAACATGTTATCAGGCATACAGATGATGCTCAGTAAGTGCTGGAATTACGGCACACTATATTTAACCTTCCTAGTATGTCATTAATACAGTGGGAAGTAGAGTTACCATTTTCTTTCCGTAATCTTGTGATGAACTTCTTAGGGGGTATTACTCCAACCTTTTTCTTCTGAGTGGCTATGCTATGGAAGAGATCTGCTAAGCATGTAAGAAGGCTCTCCTTTTTCCTAGGTTGACTCTTATATGCAAGAACTTTTTCCCGAAATGGACGACAAAAATAAAGTGCTTGAAGAACTGAATTGCAGTAGCAGGTATTCCCAAACTGCAACAGAAAAAAAAAGTTTTGTTAAATTTAGGGCAACACATTTTCAAGAGAGAAATTCCCGGTGTATGGCTGAGAGAACAGAAAGAGATGACAAGTGGTTACTGCTGTTACTATAATACTGACTGCATTATATTATACATTTTAAAATACAACTCTCAAAAATTCTTTAGAAATCACAAAAGTAAAGTTTTCTATCAGGTTCTTAGGTACAACCAAATTAAAATACTTAAAAACAAAAAATAAAAAAACCAGATCCCCTGAAATGTTACATGAAAAAATCACCAGTATGACAGTCTAACAATCACTGAAATGCCAAGTCACAGTATTCATGAAGCATTGGAAAGACATCAAATTCTTAACTATGAATTTCTCTCTTACCGGCCATGTCATTGGGAGTATGTCACTACATCTTACTGAACTCTATTTCTCTCCACTCTAGTAACTGGGGGGCAGGGAAATAACCCTACTTTATAAAGTAAATGACACACAGTTTGATAAATATGTATTGCCTTCTTTTTCCCTTCCATTCGTTCAACACTGGCTCTAAAATCTAGCTAATAAAATACCTAAAAGTCAGTCATGAAGATTTGGGGAGCACTATGAAACTATAAAAAAGGAATGAGGACAATTCTCATATTTTACTATGGGCTGAGATCAAGTATATACAGTATTAAGTTAAAAAGGCTAGGTAGAGAAAAAATGTTTAAGATTGGGTGATATCAAATGTATGTCCACAGACCATTTGTTTGTATTTTTTTTAAAAAAAATGAGGAAAGATAAACAAAAAGCTAATAAAAATGGTTATTTATAGGAGAGGAAAAATAATGGAGAGATGGATGAAAATGAGAATTCTCTGAAAGTAAGTGGTTATAAAACATTTACTTTTTATCTCCAGCTTTCTAAAATAAAGAAATTTCTCACACCTGTAATCCCAGCACTTTGGGAGGCCGAGGCAGGCGGATTACAAGGTCAGGAGATCAAGACCATCCTGGCTAACACGGTGAAACCCCATCTCTACTAAAAAAAAATACAAAAAATCAGCTGGGTGTGGTGGTGGGTGCCTGTAGTCCCAGCTACTCAGCAGGCTGAGGCAGGAGAATAGGGTGAACCCAGGAGGCGGAGCTTGCAGTGAGCAGAGACCATGTGCTACTGCACTCCAGCCTGGGTGACAGAGTAAGACTCCGTCTCAAAAATAAAAGCAATTTCTAAAATTAAAAACAAAAATAAAACCTAAATGTATATGGATTCAATGGTAGAAATACAGAGAAAAGAATTACTTCAGGTGACTTAAAGAATGTTTACCATACATGCCTAATGAGATAGAGTCTAACTGTTTAAAAAAAAAAAACAGCAAAAAAAATCTATTAGCCAGATGCAGTGGCTCACACCTGTAATCCCAGCACTTAGGGAAGCCGAGGCGGGAGGATCACTTGAGGTTAGAAGCTCAAGACCAACTTGGTCAACATGGTGAAACCCCATCTCTACTAAAAATACAAAAATTAGCCAGGCATGATGACATACACCTGTGATTCCAGCTACTCAGGAGGCTGAGGTATGAGAATCGCTTGAACCCAGGAGGCAGAGGTTGCAGTGAGCCAAGATTGCACCACTGCACTTCAGCTTGGCAGACAAAGCAAGACTCTGTCTCAAAAACAAACTAACAAAAAAACAAATTTATTGATATTGTTATTTTGAAACTATTGTAGCTATATCACAGGACAAAGCAAACAAGGAATTATGTTAATACCCTTAGGAAACAAAATTTTTCATGTAAAGGAAAAAAAGATGCTATAATAAAAATCAGAAAAGTAAAAGCCTTGTAAACTTAAGTTGGAAACATCAATATAAACTTATGTTTTTTTATAACTCTGAAAGTGTATGTCTGTATGTATGCATGTATGTTTGTGTGTGTGTGTTTTCAAACTCTGTCCACTGAAAAGGTGTGGCAGCAACAAGTTTCTCCTTTACCCAGATTGTGTTCTCTAAACACCCTTTTCCCATCCAAAGGAACTCGGACACCTTGAAGATATGGCTGATACAAGATCTGGGATAAGAAATGTACAATGTGCAAGATTAGCCTGGGGTATCTTAAATATAAGTGTCAGCTTTAATACAAAAGGATTACTGCAATGCATCAAAACACACTATATAAAAATTCATAAATTTAAAATGACATTTTAGGCCGGGCACAATGGCTCATGCCTGTAATCCTAGCACTTTGGGAGGCCAAGGTAGGTGGCTCAGTTGAGGTCAGGAGTTTGAGACTAGCCTGGCCAACATGGTGAAACCCCATCTCTAACTAAAATTACAAAAATTGGCCGGTTGTGGTGGCGCACACCTGTAATCCCAGCTACTCAGGAAGCTGAGGCAGTAGATTCACTTGAACCTGGAGGCGGAGGCTGCAGTGAGCCAAGACGGTGCCACTGCACTCGGGCTTCAGCGACAGAATGAGACTTTCTCTACAAAAAAAGATACATATGTGTGTGTGTGTGTGTGTGTGTGTGTGTATACACATAATGACATTTTAAAAAAAGAAACCCTCATGAGTCTCCATTGACAGTTGCAAACTAACATATAAAAGGAAAACATCAAAGATTCATCTTGCCTTTCTCATAAGAACCATATTTCAGGGGCACTAAACAGTTGATGAAGGAAGTTTTTGTTTATAAAATAAGTCCAGTGAATAAAATCAGAAGAAATGGTTGTAAATAATGGATTAAGCAACAATTATCAATGGATGCTCAAAGCATTAGGTTAAAAGCTGATGAGGATCTTTAAAACAGAGGGATCAGACCTAACCCCCCATGCATTTCAGCGTCGCTGAAAGTGAACAACTGAATAATGTGTGTCTTTTAATATATCTTACCTCCTATGAAGTACTCTTGCCTTAAGCAAAACCACTAAACTTTAATCATGTCTCTACGTGTAACTACTAATTTACAAGATAGTCAACAGTCAGGCAATGAAAGAGACAATACCACAAAGAAGGAAAGGGCCAAGTTCGAAATGTGAACAGTCTCTAGGAAAGATGACCTCGTTTCTCCACAAATGGATAACTTGAAAAAAGTTTGAAAAGGGCTCAAGAGACACCACAATCAAACTGCAAATGTAAATGCTGGAGTTTACTTAGATCGTGATTTACAAACCAACTATAAAAAGTCATCTTTGGCCAGGCACAGTGGCTCACGCCTGTAATCCCAGAACTTTGGGAAGCCGAGGTGGGTGGATTACTTGAGGTCAGGAGTTCGAGACCAGCCTGGCCAACGTGGTGAAACCCTGTATCTACTAAAAATACAAAAACTAGCTGGGCATTTTACTCTTATAATCCCAGCTACTCGGGAGGTTGAGACAGGAGAATCGCTGGAACACGGGAGGCGGAGGTTATAGTGAGCCGAGATGGCACCACTACTGCACTCCAGCCTGGGCGACAGAGTGAGAATCCGTTTCCAAAAAAAAAAAAAAGTCATCTTTGAGACAAAAGAAGATACTTGAATATATACAGCATTGGATGATACTAAGAAATTGTTGACTTTGTTAGGCGTGATCATTAGATGATCATATTTTTTAAAACGTTCATGCCACTTAGAGACATGTAATTAAACTTGTACCATTTATGGCCAAAATGACATGATACCTAGGATTTCCTTTTCCAGGAAAAAAAAAAAAAAGGTCAGTGGAAGAGAATGAAAATATTGGTAATTGTTCAAGCTAGGTTAATGGGTTCATGGTGATTCATTATATTTACCTATCCTACTCTAGCTTTTCAAAGGAGGCATTTAATCTTTGAGGTAAATTGTGTCATCATGTCATTATGTGTCAAAATCATAGCAAATAAAGGACCTAACCAGATAAATTCATAGGGAAGACAGAGACTAGGCAGAGCCAATAATTTCAGGGAAAAACTTTAAAAGCTCTGCTATGTTCAATCTCCTAATTGTCTGAATATGTTTCTTTTTTTCCACAGAGATTAAACAAATAAGATCCCTCTGCCCACTGAAACAAGAGTTACCAACTTTTTGAAGAGGCTTGGGAGATCCAAGCCCTCTCCAGCTGAGGACCTGAGACCTAGGGAGGACAATGACTTCTCACATCCACACCGCTAGTAGGAGACAAGCACTGGTTTCAGAAAAAGAGGTGCTTAAGAGGTATGTGATTAAAGCGTACTGGTATCATGATCATAAATGTAACTATAGATACACTTCAATGCACCCTACCCAGGGGTTAAGTACACCTGAAACAGCATCCACAATGTTACTAAGATTAATTTACCCAGTATCCTGAATAATTTGTCTTAAAAACACCTGTATTTGTATCACAATCTAATCAAGCTAATGACCAACAAATGTAGTTATATCAACTAAAGAGAACAGACAATGTTCGTATTTTGGAATAGCCAACAGGGGAACTGAACAACTTCCACTGAGTAGGGAGATGAAAGCAAAAGAGATCATCTCGGAGTATATCAGAAATATTATGATAATGAGGATTGACCTATCTCTAAAAAATACAAGAAGCAAATAGGATAGGCTAAAAAACTAGAGGGAGTCTCTATTTTGTAGACTACTGGAAGTCAGGCTCACACTTCTGTCCAACATGACTTGCTCATCTTCGGAATATAAAGCAACAGTAACATTATGATCAATTATCTGAGGCCTGCTATTAGTCTTCTTTTATTTACTTTCCTCAATCCCATTAAAGAAAAATTAAAGGTTGAAAGTACTACTCTTTCTCCAGAATAAGCTAACTTTCAATCTTATTAATAATTTTGAAACTTTTCCTTCAATTTTCTTGATTTTTAATATTAACTTTCATTCAAGGTCCTAAGACTTAAAAATTATCTTTCAAGAGTACAGCCTTCGTGCAAAAGGTTTTCTGGGATGATTTTCTCTATACTCTTGTTTGTGAATGCTCAATTTCCTAAAAAACAAAAAAACATTGCTTTAGTGCTGAAATCTATGCTGTTTTATCTCAGCTGGTTTTGAAGATCAAAGGTAAGT